TATATATATGATATTCTTATTTATAAAAATGAGATTAGAAGTCGGACATTTTAACTGTACATTTGAAATATGTACAATCTCTTCATTTGAAATATTTAAGTTATGTTTACTCAAATTATAAAACAGATATAACAGGATGTGTTTTGCGGCCAAATAGTATGTAGGTATATATGTATGTGTGTTTATCTATGTATATAGTCATTCATTCATTCATTCTTACTTTATTGAGGAATAACTGACAAATTGTATATATTTAAATTTTTCACTTTACAGTGTGATGATTTGAGGTATATATGATTATGAAGATCGAGATATTTAATGCATACATCATCTCAAATAGTTAACTCTTTTTGTTTGTGGTGAAGACACCTAAGATTCACTCTTAGCATGAACTACAGTTACCATGCTGTGCATTAGATCCCCAGAACTTTTATAATTGAAAGTTTGTATAATTTAACCTACATTTACCTTGTATAACTCTCACCCCTTGGCACCAACCAATTTACTTGCTTTTTCTATGAAATCAGCATTTTTTTTATTCCACATACAAGTGATACTATACTTTTTGTGTCTGGCTAATTTCACTTAACATAATGTCTTCCAGTTCATCCATATTGTCACAAATGACAATTTCCATATTTCTCATAGATGAATAATATTCCATTACATATAAACCTATTTACATATATACATATTTTCTTTATCAATTCATCTGTCAAAAGACGGGTTGTTTCTATACCTTGGCTCTTGTGAACAATGTTGCAATGAACATCAGAGTGCAGCTATGTCTTCAAGATCCAATTTCCTTTCCTTTAGATATTTACCCAGGAGTGAGGTTTCTGGATCATACATAGTTCTGTTTTTTAAAATATTTTAGGAACCTTCTTACTGTTTTCAATAATGGATGTATCAATTTAAATTCCCAGAAACAATACATGATTCTTTTTTATCCAAAGCCTCACCAATGTTGGTATCCCTTCTGTTTTTAAAATTAGTCATCCTAACAGGTGTGAGGTGATATCTCATTGTAGTTTTGATTTGCATTTCCCTGATGACTAGTGATGTCCAGCACTTTTTCATGTTCCTATTAGCAATGTGTATGTATTCATTGAAAAAAAATGTCAATTCATGTCTTTTGCCCATTTTTAATTGGATTGATTTTGTGTTATTGAAATGTATAAGTCCTTTACATATTTTGGACATTAACCCCATCTCATGTATATGTTTTGCAAATAGTTTACCTCATTCTATCGGTTGCTTTTCCAGTTTATTTTTTTTTTTGTTTTCTTTGCTGTGTAGTTCCTTTTGTTTATTTTAGCTTTTTTTGCTTATGCTTCGGTGTCTTATCTAATAAATTATTGCCAACACCACTGTCAAGGAGCTTTTTTGTTATGCTTTCTTCTAAGAGTTTCACTTATTTAGAAATCAATATCCTAATATCTAGGCCAGATTTCAATGTCTATAGCAGGTGAATCTTTAGGTCTGAAACAGAATAGTTCATACTTCTCTGGGTCTCATGAAATATAGGCAGGGCTCTTCCTTCAAAATCCAGGACAAGAAACAACACAAGACAACCTGCTGATGGACTGGACCCCTTTGTAACATATTTTAGAGGGTAACCCAAATATAAAGCATCTCATGGTATGTATTACTCTTTTCTTTATGGTTTTGCAACATATAGAAACAATATTAAAGTATTTTACAAGGCCAATTTATACAATTTATAAAATCCATATGAAATATCATTATTTATTACTTACCTATAGCTTGGTTTAAGCAAAAAAGTGGAAATTTAACTTATCAAAATAACATAATATTTGTAATAATTCAAATAATATTTGCTCCAAAATAATACAGATATATCAATATAAATGAAACAGTTTAATTTCTCTGATTTCATTTTTAAAGGTTCTTTAAAAATGATGCCTAAGATATTTTTAAAATAGAGCCTATTTCTTATACCTAACAAAATAATAATATAAGCAAAGCAATTCTTATTTTAAGGATTGTTGGCAACATTTTCTCTTTTTCTTTAGACAGTATCAGGTATCAATCCCAGGCATAATATTTAGGCCAAGTTATCCTTTTTAGCTAATAAATACATATGACAAAATGGTGCATAAGCTCAATGTTCTTATGTACCAAGATGTCTTTCCACACAAGTGACAGGTACCTATAATGGCCAATTGTATTACCCTTATACAAGATTGCATTATATTCCTTAAGTCATAATATGAACAGTTTTTTTTTATTTAAGATTTAGATGCAGGACTAAGATAAAGAAATAAGTTGCTCTTCTTTACAATGATAGTATTCCATGTTCATTCGCTACAGTGGTTTTTGATAATCTAGCCTAGCCTCTGTCAGCCATCTTATTAGAGTTTATACAAACTCTCTTGTATATGTTGGCTTTAAACGATGGTTGCTGTACTCTTGAAAATATAGCCTCACTAATGAGAGAAAGCGAAAATTTCAAGTAGCTAGCTTATTTGTGTCCTACTTTATGAGACATATAATCATTCTTTACTTTTTCAAACCATCTAGGTGTCCTGCAACTGAAAGAAGATACTATTGAAAGTTTGCTGGCTGCAGCTTGTCTCCTGCAACTGACTCAAGTTATTGACGTCTGCTCCAATTTTCTCATAAAGCAGCTCCATCCTTCAAACTGCTTAGGGATTCGATCATTTGGAGATGCCCAGGGTTGTACAGAGCTCCTGAGTGTGGCACATAAATACACAATGGTAAAATCAACTGATTCAAACTAATTTATACTAATGTATTAACCCAATATCTAAGTTACTAATTTTTGCTGATATGTTTATGTATGTGTGTACATAAATATATATACCTGTGTGTTTATAAAACTATTCACATAAATATTTTAGTGTGGGATAAAATTAAAAGGCAATATAAATTCATATAATTTACAAGTGACTTGCAAATAATAGACATTAGATTAAAATATGTGTCTGGTTGAGCTGTACTCAATCAAGTTTCTCGTTTTTGAAACTAAAAAAGGTTTACTTGAATCTCAAAGCCTGAAGAAATGAAAATATTGCCCCAAATTAAATTATACAAGTATATATTTCAAGTCAAATCCACACTATTAAGAAAATATAATTTTTCTAATATTTTGCCCTATTAGAACTCTAATTTTTAAGTTTGTGCAAATTATGATTTATAATGAAAATATTCAATAAAGAAAAAATTAATGGATTAATACTGATTGGAATGTTTAAGAACTATAAAATAAGTAAATCAGACAATTCTATTGCATGGACTTTTTATGTTTTAATGAAAACATATTTTGGTTAAAAGCAATTTGTAGTCCAATCCCTTAACTTAATTAATTAATTTAAACCACCTCTCAATTCTATTAGTAATTATAATAAATTGAATAAAACCATTCTTATATGCTAATTCTTTGAAAGTTGCATGGGATAAGACTATGTTTATTCAGACAAGTGAAAGTGACATGAAAGATTGATCATCTGTAGTGAGGCAAGAAAAAGTAGACATATGGTAAACATACTCTTACCATTAACAGGATATCAATTGCCTAATGTAAAGAAGAAAATCAACTTTTTAACCTCTGAAGCAGGGAACAACATAGGAGATGGATCTTTCTGTGATAATCAAACAATTAAAAAATAAATATTTACAGTTAAGAAAATTGCCACAGTAAAAAAAAAAAAAGATTCAATACTAAAAGGCAAGTACATAAAAGTGAACAGTAGAGAAAAATATGCCTAAGAATAAGATAAAATTAGGATTGAGATGCATATAAATGAAGACTATTTTTCTAGAGTTTTATACTGACCTTAAAATTTCCAAAGTTCTAAGATTTGAATTCTCTAAAAAATTATTGTAAAATTTCCCCCCTTGTCTTTCCATCTCTGGTCAACTTTTCAAACATATTCCTGAAACAAAGGCATTATGTGGAGAATTATATTATAATGGACTGGTGTTTTAACATATGTCATTTAGTTATGCTATTTATATTACTATATCCTAAATATAGATACCACATAATTTATCAGAACAGCAATTATATAGTTTAAAGGTTAATCCTACCTTAAAAACCAAACATGGAAAACTTCCTGTTAGGTTACTTAAATTCTTGAATTAAGTATTAGCAGCTTCCTGGCTGGTATCTTACTTTTGCAGACAAAACACGTGCTGATAAACAGCTTGAATTATTTTTGTTGCTCAAAATCAACTTCTCTTCCTTTTCCTATTATGTGATTTTTAAAGCAGGATGTGCATAAAACAATATTGTTCTCTTCTTTAAATCCTCTTCTTTAGCTATTATAGTATATATTATAAATGGAGTAAAATTGGTAAAGCTCTTGTTATAATAATGCTTTTATAATACTGTATTAATAGTATAAAAACACAAGTGATTTTAATGATTCAATTACAACTGTTTGAATCACAGAATATGTAAAACAAATTAATCTCCCTAATGTGTATGGGCCCAACCCAGAAACATCATCATAGACACATCCAGAATGTTCAGCCAAAAGTCTAGACATTCCCTGGTTCAGTCAAGTTGATGCATAAAATTAACCACCATAATTATATAAACAGTAATCTACATTGATGAAACATTCAGCAAATATGTTAAATTTAGAACAATGTAAATGTAGATTTTTTAAAAAATGAATACCAAACCAAAGGTACAAGAAATATTCTTAAGAATGAGCATTGAAGAAAATTTTACCTTGAAATTAGGAGCAAATAACTCCAAAATAAAACAACATAAAATTAATATTTAAGCTTAACTAAATGTTCTCTATAGTACTGTTTATTCCAATGCTACATCTAGATAATTCAAACCAGTAAATTTATTTTTTATTTACACTAATTACCTATATCACCAGGCTATTTTCAATGATCGCATCAGGCAACCACTCTGAAGCTATAACAAAGTCTACCAAAAAATCTGATTTCTAGATATATTTAAATATGACCATCATATAAACCATTTTAATCATTTCTTAACTTTCTCAGAGGCATAATTTAATTTTATTGACTATATCTGACCCATATTAACCATTGAGTGGGTTTAACCGTTGTTTAAACCATTAACAATGAGCCAATTCATGGGAAGAAGTCAAATTATCAAATTGTTTGGAAGAAGTTGATTCCAACCCTCATTGAATAGCTTTGAGGGGTTCAAGACTTCATTGGAGGAAGTAGCTGGGGAAGTGGTGAAAAAGCAAGAGAACTAGAATTAGAAGTGGAGCCTGAAGATGTGATTGAATTGCTGCAGTCCTATGACAAGACTTCAATGAATAAGGAGTTGCTTCTTGTGAATGAGAAAAGAAAAGTGGTTTTGTGAGATGGACTCTACTCCTGGTGAAGACGCTGTGAAGACTAAAAAATATTGAAGTGACAACAAATTATTTAGAATAGTACATAAACTTAGTGGATAAAGCAGCAGCAGGGATTGAGAAATTATTCTAATTTTGAAGGAAGGTCTGTGGGTAAACTGCTAGCAAATAGTATTGCACGCTACAGAAAAACCATTTGTAAAAAGAAGAATCAATTAATTCATAAAACTTCAGTGTTTTCTTATTTTAAGAAATTTCTGTAGCCACTTAACCTTTAGCAGTTATCAGCCTGATCAATCAGCAGCCATCAACATCAAGGCAAGACCCTGTACCAGCAAACATATTATTTCTCAAGGAAGGCTCAGGTGATGATTAGCATCTTTTAGCAATGAACTATTTTTAATTAAGGTCTGTACATTGTTTTTATAGACATAATGCTATTGCATACTTAATAGACTACAGTGTGGTTTAATATAACTTTTATATGCACTGAAAAACCAAAAAGTTTTTAATGACTCGCTTTGTTGTGATATTCAGTTCTTTGTGGTGGTCTGTAACTGAACCTGCAATATCTCCAAGATATGCCTATACTTTGACATTTACTGCACCAAACAATTCACACAGCCTGTTTTCCTATCAAAATAATTCTACTCCTCACAAGACCACTTTGGTGATGACAATATTTTTTAAAGAAATCCGTTAAGTTTGAAGTGTTATACATGTGTAATGTATTAGTTGTAGGACTAGCTCCATTATGTTGCTATAGGTTAAAGACTTTTCAAACAAGGTCATCTGCTACATGTAAGGACCTGAGTCTCTGAATTGCTTGCCTTAGACACAAGAAGGAAGTTTGTCTAAACAGGCAAGTTAACTTGCATTTATGGTGTCAGAGCTTCTTGATGGGTCTGTCAAACTTAATGGTTGTTGTATGGATAAGTTTGCTATTAGGCTAACTCAGTTCCACAATGACTAAACTCAGAGTGGAGCTGAAGAAGTGAAAGATTTATCCGGTTCCCCCAGTTACTCAGAAACTGTCTTAAACTGCTTCCAGAATAATATTTATTTATTGTAAAATGTAAATTACCAACTAGATATGTTTATCTTCATTTCAGAAGCATTTTTCATTGCATTTAAAAATTGAGATCTTTATATATAATGTTGAAAGCAATCATTGTGTTGTTAAAGAAAAATACATAGCATTATAAATTGGAAAAATATATAGTGGTGTTTCAATAAAAGAATATTGAAACACAGCTGCCTGAAATTTGATGCTTGACAAAATACAAGACAACACACTGACAGAAGAGAAAATTGAGGCATCCTATCTAATAATAGAGAAACATAGTAATTAACCGTAACTTTACTACCCTTCCCATTGGCTAATCAGCGAGATATGCAAAATAACTGCTAACCAAGATGGCGCTGGCAGCCAGGCAGCTGAAGTGAACAGGAGGCTTGCTTGCTCCAGTGAAGGAAGAAGCCAAGGTTCCCCACCTGCTGCTGCTGGGCCCTGAGCTGCAGTCTAAGAAACAATGTTGCAATTATAAAAGTTAAACAATCCCCATGCTTTCAGCCAGCCAGCAGAGCTGGAGTTACAACAGTGTTACAATTATAGAACCCAAACAAACCAGATACCTGCTTTCAGCAGCCGAGATCTCAGAGCTGGAGCCCAGGCTCAGAGCTAAAACCGGCTCTCAGTTCCAGTGATAACCATAGAAGGTAAATAAATTCCAGAATAAAAAAGAAAAAAAAAAAAGAAAAAAAGGAGAGGTTGGGAGCTTCAGTCACCCGCCAGCCTGAAAACGGCCCTTAGCCCCTCACCCAAACTGGCCAGGCACCCCAGTGGGGACCCCCACCCTGAAGGGTGTGTGACCAGCTGCAAACAGCCATCATCCCCTAATCCAGGCTGGCCAGGCACCGAAGAGGGACCCCCCCACCCTGAAGGGGGTGCGACCAGCTGCAAACAGCCATCAGCCCCTCACCCAGGTTGGCCAGGCACCCAAGCAGGACCCCCACCCTGATCTGGGACACCCTTCAGGGCAAACCAGCCAGCCCCCACCCATGCACCAGGCCTCTATTCTATATAGTAAATGGGTAATATGCCTCCCAGCACTGGGATCAGTGTGATAGGGTGCAGCGCCCCAACCCCCTGATGGGCCCTGCTCTGTGTGTGACCAGGGGAAGTGCTCCAACTCCCCTATCCGCCCTACTCTATGCATGACAGGGGG